TAATATACAGTGGTACCTCAGGTTACGAACGCCCCAGCATACGAAATTTTCAGGATACGACATGAAATTCGAACATATTTTTGCTCCACGATACGAACAAAAACTCACCATACGACGTTACATTAGTTCGCATTTTTCATTTGTTTTTCTTACTACAGTTATTTTTTTTAATGTATTATTTGGCTTTAATTTGAGTATGTTTTTCGCGTTGGAACGAATTATTTGGTTTTACATGTAATCGTATGGGAAAAGATGATCCACCTTACGACATTTTCATGATACAATCTCAGTTTCGGAATGGATTAATTTCGTATCCTGAGGTACCACTGTATATAAATTATTTGAATATTTTCAGGATAATTGGTTATATGTAAATAACTGTTTTAAGTATAATAACCCAAAGATAAGTCAAAGATTTTAAATTTGAGATTTAACTAACAAAATTATTAAAGCCAAATGATTGCCATGGCTATATTACCACTACTATTAATAATTACTCAGTATCTAATTATTAATAACAGCAGTAATATAACCTAATTTAATCCAGCAATTGTTTGGCTTTAATATAACTATCAGATTTAGAGATGTTTACATATGAAATTATTATTCAAAGCAAAATTTATTTTAAAAATAAAACAACAAAATGTACTTATTTGTGAAAAAAATAGAGATTAAATTTTTCAAAAATTAACAAAGTAGATAAATAAGAAAAAAATGCAATAATTATGTGATAACATTTTCTATCCAAGTTTCACTTCAATAAAATATAGCTGTATATATGCATATATTCAGCTTTATTCTCTACATATATTTCTTTGCATACATACCATATTTCCTCCAATAAATGTTTATTTGCTAAATGAAAGCTCAAGCCCAGCATTTATTAGAAATCAACAGCAATTTGATACTGGCATTTATTTGGTAATATCTGGTATGACAACTGCAAAGTACACACACAATATGTTCACTTATTATTATTATTATTATTTATTAATATCAGTAACATAACACTATCCCAAATAACAGAACTTAGTAATTTCTTGGAGTAAAGTGACCTTAAAATGTTACTGATGTAGAATGAAGCTTAAGAGGAAATGGGCACAAAATGAGAATCCCTAACTGATGCTTATTAGACATCAGTTTTTTTTTTGGCAGTTTTTTACTCAGACCCTGGCACTTACAGGAAACATGCAGTATTAGAGATTTGATGTTTACTGGAAGAAACAGAGTATGTGTATCTGTGTATGTATTTATTAAGGCATTGTTTTGAGATCTGTATAAATAATAAAAAGTCAATTATTTTACAGGCAAAATTTTTATTTCTACACAATAAATTATTAATTTCTGAAATTTATTGTTAGTAAAACAGTTTATAATGTATTTTATATATTTATTATAGAATATTAAGAAAAAGTTAAAAGATTATACCCAGAAGATTGTTGTTTGATAACTGGTATGACAGGAAGCTGAAAACCATTTATAATAGCTACTTCAGTGAGTTCTGTTTCCTTTGGAATATAACAAATATTAATTTCAGTATAGAGAATTTTAGGATATTTTTATCATAAGCTTACAAATTTTAAAAATTACATTATTGAAAAATTAATTAGACAAAAAGAAAAAGAATAAATAAATATATTAATATAATACAGCATTAGTATGAAAAAGGAAAAAAATTAATGAATTAGAAGTGTTATGATTCAGTAAAATCCTATTTTTTGAATTTAAAACAAATTGTGTATGTGTGGGTTTTATGTTTTTGTAATGTGTTATAAAAGCCCAAGATTTGTTCAAAAATGTAAATCTGATGGGATTTGGAAAAATATATTCAAAGAGGATTTCAATCAAAGAGTTTGGAAGAACTGCACTTTGGAGAACATTCCTTTTTAGAATGAGTGTGGAGACTCACTTTCCAAGTGTTTTTTGGTCCAGTGTAGCTTAAATATATATCTATATACTATTCAATATGTTTGTTTGTGAGAAATTATATATTAATTGATACAATAAACTGTTATTTAGTTGTTTTTTTATACAATAACTTGTATAAATTTGAAAAGAACCTGTTGGTGTTCTTCAGAACCTGGAAGACAGAGTTAACTGAAAGAGCAAGCAACTTGTACTTGACTACAAGTGAAAATAACTGTTTTCTTTCAGTTTTTATTGATTTTGGATAATAAATTGATGATATAATTATTATTTTTACATTTATCATAATAAACTAATAACTAAGTAATAAAAAAAAATAATCAAAACTTTTCTATTTATACAATTAATAATCTTCATAAATTAGAAAATATTATAAATTATTATAATAAATTAGTAATCTTCATAAAATAGAAATTATGATATACAGGTACTTTAGTTTTCAAAATGCTTCTATGTTCATTCATGTGTAATAAAAATTTCACTTTTGTCATTTTAAAATAAATATTGACAAATATTAAGTCAACAAAATTTAAAATTTTAAAAATTTTGATGACTTAATTCATCATATACAGTAATTTATGGCTTCTATTTTTATATAAACTTATTTCAGATAAGATGTATTTGAAATATTAGTTTTTGAAAGACATAGGTATTGTTGTAGAGCATTAAAATGAAGTAAAGTAGGAATTTTTTTCTAATTCAGTACTTTTACAAAATCTAATAGCCAGTATCAAAATTGACTTACTTGATAAACATAGCATGCCGTAAAATATTTAGTATTTTTAAATGTTTCTTATACTACTGAAACATAACATATTTGCTTTTTGTACATATAAAAATAAACTTTGTAAAATACATTAACAATATCATAAGTAATGTCAAGTGTATATTAAAAAGTTTATTGCAATAATGAACTGTTACCTATGAACAAACATTTTCTTTCAGTTTCAAGCATATAATTGTGCGTTAAGGACTTGCCATACAGGAACTTAGGAGACAATATTACTGAATTTATTGATATTAGTTACAAGAAAATTCAGTCAGGTTTCATACCCCCTCATCAGTTCTTAGCACTTTTAGTACCTGTACTTCTTCAAAGAAGTTTTTGTATTATTTCAACAACAACAAGATTTTTCTTAACATATGTTATAATAAATTTTAAAAATAAAAATAGATTTATTACAGTAGAAAGTGTCATCATACTGAACTGAGGTTTCACAACTTATTTAATAATATTTACTTAAGACAGAAACACCAAGTCTCACCAAGTCTTAATTCTTTTAATACATATCTAAAAGTTAAAATATTTTCCCTGTTTATTCTTTTAGGATGTTAATTATGTATTAAATAAATTTTCAGTGTTTATATGTATAAATTATTTATTTATTTATTTTTAATAAGCAAATAAATAATGTAAATAAAAATATAAATTCATCACAAGTTTAATTTCAAAAAGATCTAAATTTTTAAAAATATAAAATAACTTCAAAATTTAAAAATATATCTTGATATAATTATGGAGAGATTAAAATATTTTCTTAAATATGTACATAAAATACTAATTGAAAATTTTAACACTAATAAAAGCTATATAACATTTTAATTATTAAAATTACATAAATTAATCCAATTATTTTTTAATTCAATAATAAACCAATCAATAAATGAAATAAATACATTATAATACAAAATTATTATTATAAGCTAATGAAATTAATAGCTTTTACATAATCAAAATAGTAATAAAAAAATGTTTCTACCTTCAGAAAAGATTGATGTTTAGGGAAATTCTCAATTACAGAACTGGCAGAATCTGTCCTATAACAACATAACTATTGTTTTTATTTAATATGCTAATATATTTAAAGGATAATTATCCAAAACTTAAATAACTTTGGATAATTATCTTTATATTGTTATCATACATAATAATAAAAAAACTTGAGGTTTATAATAAAAATTCATATGATACTTTGCATTAATTTAGAAAATACTATTGATGAACAGGAAACAGATAATTCTGCAGAAAACAATATGTTTATGATTCGTTTATATCCTCTAATTTTCTTACATATCTGGTAGAGTTTTGAACCATATGAATTTTCTATAGTTATTTTCAATATATACAAAATGCTTTTTGTATATGTTTTTATTCTACACTAGCTGCAAGGACCCGCTTCACTGGGTTTTTATTTGTTCGTACATTTGTATGTAATATAGTTTTTTTATATATATATAAAAGACTGTTTTTCTAAGTAATCTAGAATCTAGCTGCAAGGACCCGCTTCACTGGGTTTTTATTTGTGGGCAAAAAGTAACGATAGTGAAGATTAAGATAATTACATTATAGCCAATCTTACCTGTTTTCACAGAATGCAAGAATTAGGTCCCCGTTTCCAGACTAATTAGAGAATTTTTACGTCCAGTCAAACAAACTATTTTCAATTTGATCAATTTTCTGGAACGTTTACAATCGTTCTATAATCAAACCAATTCGAATTTAAATTCAAATTCGAAAATTTTTAAAATTGAAATAGAAAATCTTCCACTTTCAACCACTTTCAAGCCCATATCTCCCGCACCCTTATAGCTATCGAGACGCAACCACCATAGTGCACGAATGAAGACTTGGGGCTACTACCACATACAAACACCATTCATGTGCGATGTGTAGTTTTGGCTGAAAAGTGAAATATAGGGACACACATGTCCATTTATATATATATATGTTATGGACAAAGTGATTAATATGGGCATTATTCATAATGCCCATTCATTATGAATAATGACCAACAAAATCGGGCATTGTAATAAATTTCAATAATTTATCAAATTGACCGGTCATTATGAATACTGCTATCATCTAGTTGGGCAAAGTGATAATAATGCGTCGAAGAGTGATCATCCAAAATACGCTAGCCAATCAACACTTGCATCTGAGTTGCATGTGCATGTTGTGTTTAGTACGGAATTTGGGGCGGTCGCGCTTGTTTGTGCTTTNTTTCTTCAACATTTTCAGCTGGCCCAAAATTAAGATTCAAAGTTATATCTGTTGAAACTTTTTCAACAAAAGGAAACCATTTACACCAATTTAACAATACTGGAAATGTAGTTGTCTATAAAATTAAAATTTATTTATATGAAATTTCATACAATAATAAATAACAAAATACTTTGATTCATATTTGCTTGTTCAATTTTACATAATCTTATATATTCTCTATTTTTCTTTTTTATACTCATACAGACTGAATAATTGTAATTAAAGTATCCCCTATTCAATGCTATCTAGAGAAATTTTTAGCAGTGAAAATGCAACTATGGTGACATTTCAGGATATGCAAAAGACATTTTCATAAAAGTTATACCAAAAAACTTACCACTGATACTTTTGGCACTACAAGAGCAACACATTTTATTTGTACAAGAAATTCATGCTGTAGAAATCTTAGCAACACAGGGAATAATGGGCTGTGTTCAGTAACCAAAATTCTTGCTAAGTCTAGTTATGCTGCAATGCGGAACTCGTTTCTGACTACTGCTTGATTCCTCCCACCACTAGCTTCTTTTATGTATTCTTAGCTCTGCCCACTAAGCCACTCAGAATTCTAACTTAGGTGTTCTGTGTTACTGAACACGGCCCTGCTTAATGTGGTCCCCAGTCTGAAAGTGTCAAACCTGAAGATTATGGTCAGTTGTTGAACACATTGTTCATTATGATCCACTGATATTTCTCAGTGGATCAGTTATGGTCAACCTTATAAAAATTTTGCCTGTAAAATAATTTGGTTTTTCTTGTTTATACCATCTCAAAATAGCATGATACTGTGTTTCAAGTCTCCCAGTTTGTAACATGACCTCAAAATCACATTTTTTAAGAGTCTCCACAACCAAAAACAATGGACTGAGATCCAGAGAACAAGGTGGCCAGATAATAAAAAAGACATGATTAGCCAGTGAAGTGTTATTGAAGTTCAAGTTGATAAGTATATAATAGTACTTTTATATCCAAAACTTAGCTGCAACATATGATTAATTAAGAAAATAAAACTGCTTTTTTTGTTGCTTGCAGTACCAGAAGTGCTGTAGTAATGAGTTTTAATATTAATGTTTTTTACAGAAATGTCATCCACACATCAAAAAATGTTACCATACTAGATTTGGTTGCATCTGACTACTACATGTGTCTTTAGACAGCATTAATTGACAGCAGGCAGTCGGACGGCACTGTACAGCCGTACGCCTGCTGGCGCGACGGATATGTTTAAACTTAACGTTAACGTGTTAAATAAGAAACTAACTACAATCACCAAGTATGCAGGATTTAGTCTATTTTAATCAATCCACTGAAAACTCAAAATATGCAGCCTACAAAATTAATGTTTTAATCAAAAATGTTATAGTTTAAGTGGGCTACAAGATGGAGCTACTAGTTTCATCATAGATGGTGCTATGATCAGTAAAAAAAATGGGTCAACTTAAGTGAAACCCCTATTTTTTATTACATATTATTCTACATCAAAACAATAACTGTTATATAAAACATTTTTTGAAAGATACACTTATAAGTTATGAGTATTTGAAGTTTTATGCAGATGCCACACAGTGCACATGTGAATCTGTGGATATCTGAAATTAAAAAAGAAATCCAGCAACAAGTTGCTTAACTTTCCTGGCAACATTATAGTAGATGGTGCCACAGTTTTAAAACAGTTTTTAATAATAAAATATTGTATTTGACGAGACTATGTCTTGTCTCTAAAATTGCACTGCTGTCAACGGCTGCACACCTTAGAGGTATGAAAGAGTACATGTCAGGAGTTGCAATTTGGCTAGTGTATTTGGTGTCCAAATCATGCACACACAAAATAAACCAGACTTGTAGATAGTCAGGGGACTGAGAACTGGGTCAAAATAAAATAAAATACTGAAACTGTTTCTACAAACAGGCACAAGTGCGAGATTTGTGCATGCGTTGCATGCACTCTCCAAGACAGTCTCGTCCCAAGAATGGCTTGTTTTAACTATTATAAAATGGCAAAAAGCTTAATTTTGAGGATAGGGACAGGTTTCATAAAAAATTGTAAATGCTAATAACAAGTAAAATAGTCATTAAGTCCGATCCTACTTGAAATATGACTCCCCTTTATCTCTCCACACTGTTGACCTTCAACCACCAAAATTTAATAGCATCAATTCCCCTAATAAACAAACCTCTCTGCAAAATTTCAGAAATTTTCAACATAACACACATGAGTTATTAAGCTTCAAAGAATGTAAACAAAATCATGCCTCCACACACACAAACATATATATATAGAAATAAATTTTTTCCATTTCTTGACATTAAAGTCCTAAGTCCAAAAATGTAAAAATCTTGGGGAGAGCAGTTTTTGACCAATCACCAATTATGGTGGAATCATTCTTTTTTTCAAATAATGGACTTATACAAACTACGCTGCAGCATGTTAAATCCATCAAGTTTGTGGTAAAGAAAAGACATTGATCTTGATTCAACCAAATAATTGTTTCTTAATGATTTTTTCTTTTTTTTTTTTTTTTCAATGAATTTCACACACATCTATAAGTTCACATATGTAACATATGACAGCTGCACAAAACGTTAAATGATCATAATTTATCTTTCAAAAAATGTTTTAGAACAGAAGTTTATTTTTATGTAGAATAATAATATTCAATAAAAAATGGAGGAGTTCTCATTTAAGAAACTGAAGTTTATCCTATTTTTATTGAATTGTAGTGCCATCTATGATAAAACTGACAGACTTCAAGGACATCACATAATATTTAATTCGTATATCTGAAAAAAGTAAAGAATAATGGAAATAATTCTAAGAGCTAAAAAACTAAAGGCCAAAATTCAGTAACAACAGTGTTCTCTTAGTGTCCAAGGGATAGTTAAAAATTTAAATATGTATCATTAATATATAAAAATGTTTTTTTATAGTATCAAATTTCTACAACAATGATGTATTTAAAGTGCAAGTTCAGCGTTAAAAAAATTTCAATGTAAATAAAATAAAATTGTTATGTATTGACAGTTATCATATGAAATCTTATTTTAAAAAGCATAACAGTATGCATAAAGAGTTCTCCAAATTCTTTACTGAACTCTCACTTTTGCCAAGATTATTTAAATCAGCCATCAAAAGCAATATTATAAACTATGTAAAAATAATAGAATATACAATACATACAGTAAATGGTACAGTTATTGGCCAATTAAGAAAATTTTAATTCAAAAATTTCTAAGGTATAACAAAAAGATTAAATTGGGAAATGTTAATTTTATAATTTATTTTTTTTTTATAGTCTTTCTATGCCAATATCTAGAAATTACAAATGTCAAATGTTTAATAAAAAAATGTGTTTTGCTTACAAAAATGCAAACTTGTATATTTATTGGCCATATAAACAACAAAAACCTTTAGGGCTGTTATTTACTGACAAAAGAAACTTTTATAAAACTTTTATTAAAGAGGTTTAAATTCAAAATAGTCAATTACTGTACCATTTAACCTATGTAAATGCTAATTTATAAATAATAATCTAAAGAAAACTGACAGACCAAGATAACTAAATTTTCTTTACATTTCTTATATTCTCTTGCTTATTACTTTAGAAAACATGACACTTTTTACTTTATACAATAATTTGCAGAAAACAATTATCTTATATTACAAAAAATATAATAACTAAAGATTAGTAATTAAATAACATTTAAAATATATATATATGTATAGAAATAAAAATATTTTTTCATCTCCAAAATTATTCTTAAAAATTTAAATTATTTAAAGTGATCATTTGATATTAATAAGTGATGACTTTATTTTTATAACTTACTCGTTTTGTTCAGGTTCATTAAAACTTTTACTTGGAGAAACCAATTTTTCAAATTCTTGATTACTTTCTTCATTCTTTAATGGAATCAATCCTTTCTAAAAAGAAAAATTTGTGGATTAATAGTTATATAAAAAAAACTTTATAAAATTTAAATTTTATGAATTACCTTCTTCCCTATAAGAGTAGAAAAGTTGAATGACATTTGTATGTTTTTAGTTCTGTATAATAATTTTTCTTCAACATTTTCAGCTGGCCCAAAATTAAGATTCAAAGTTATATCTGTTGAAACTTTTTCAACAAAAGGAAACCATTTACACCAATTTAACAATACTGGAAATGTAGTTGTCTATAAAATTAAAATTTATTTATATGAAATTTCATACAATAATAAATAACAAAATACTTTGATTCATATTTGCTTGTTCAATTTTACATAATCTTATATATTCTCTATTTTTCTTTTTTATACTCATACAGACTGAATAATTGTAATTAAAGTATCCCCTATTCAATGCTATCTAGAGAAATTTTTAGCAGTGAAAATGCAACTATGGTGACATTTCAGGATATGCAAAAGACATTTTCATAAAAGTTATACCAAAAAACTTACCACTGATACTTTTGGCACTACAAGAGCAACACATTTTATTTGTACAAGAAATTCATGCTGTAGAAATCTTAGCAACACAGGGAATAATGGGCTGTGTTCAGTAACCAAAATTCTTGCTAAGTCTAGTTATGCTGCAATGCGGAACTCGTTTCTGACTACTGCTTGATTCCTCCCACCACTAGCTTCTTTTATGTATTCTTAGCTCTGCCCACTAAGCCACTCAGAATTCTAACTTAGGTGTTCTGTGTTACTGAACACGGCCCTGCTTAATGTGGTCCCCAGTCTGAAAGTGTCAAACCTGAAGATTATGGTCAGTTGTTGAACACATTGTTCATTATGATCCACTGATATTTCTCAGTGGATCAGTTATGGTCAACCTTATAAAAATTTTGCCTGTAAAATAATTTGGTTTTTCTTGTTTATACCATCTCAAAATAGCATGATACTGTGTTTCAAGTCTCCCAGTTTGTAACATGACCTCAAAATCACATTTTTTAAGAGTCTCCACAACCAAAAACAATGGACTGAGATCCAGAGAACAAGGTGGCCAGATAATAAAAAAGACATGATTAGCCAGTGAAGTGTTATTGAAGTTCAAGTTGATAAGTATATAATAGTACTTTTATATCCAAAACTTAGCTGCAACATATGATTAATTAAGAAAATAAAACTGCTTTTTTTGTTGCTTGCAGTACCAGAAGTGCTGTAGTAATGAGTTTTAATATTAATGTTTTTTACAGAAATGTCATCCACACATCAAAAAATGTTACCATACTAGATTTGGTTGCATCTGACTACTACATGTGTCTTTAGACAGCATTAATTGACAGCAGGCAGTCGGACGGCACTGTACAGCCGTACGCCTGCTGGCGCGACGGATATGTTTAAACTTAACGTTAACGTGTTAAATAAGAAACTAACTACAATCACCAAGTATGCAGGATTTAGTCTATTTTAATCAATCCACTGAAAACTCAAAATATGCAGCCTACAAAATTAATGTTTTAATCAAAAATGTTATAGTTTAAGTGGGCTACAAGATGGAGCTACTAGTTTCATCATAGATGGTGCTATGATCAGTAAAAAAAATGGGTCAACTTAAGTGAAACCCCTATTTTTTATTACATATTATTCTACATCAAAACAATAACTGTTATATAAAACATTTTTTGAAAGATACACTTATAAGTTATGAGTATTTGAAGTTTTATGCAGATGCCACACAGTGCACATGTGAATCTGTGGATATCTGAAATTAAAAAAGAAATCCAGCAACAAGTTGCTTAACTTTCCTGGCAACATTATAGTAGATGGTGCCACAGTTTTAAAACAGTTTTTAATAATAAAATATTGTATTTGACGAGACTATGTCTTGTCTCTAAAATTGCACTGCTGTCAACGGCTGCACACCTTAGAGGTATGAAAGAGTACATGTCAGGAGTTGCAATTTGGCTAGTGTATTTGGTGTCCAAATCATGCACACACAAAATAAACCAGACTTGTAGATAGTCAGGGGACTGAGAACTGGGTCAAAATAAAATAAAATACTGAAACTGTTTCTACAAACAGGCACAAGTGCGAGATTTGTGCATGCGTTGCATGCACTCTCCAAGACAGTCTCGTCCCAAGAATGGCTTGTTTTAACTATTATAAAATGGCAAAAAGCTTAATTTTGAGGATAGGGACAGGTTTCATAAAAAATTGTAAATGCTAATAACAAGTAAAATAGTCATTAAGTCCGATCCTACTTGAAATATGACTCCCCTTTATCTCTCCACACTGTTGACCTTCAACCACCAAAATTTAATAGCATCAATTCCCCTAATAAACAAACCTCTCTGCAAAATTTCAGAAATTTTCAACATAACACACATGAGTTATTAAGCTTCAAAGAAGGTAAACAAAATCATGCCTCCACACACACAAACATATATATATAGAAATAAATTTTTTCCATTTCTTGACATTAAAGTCCTAAGTCCAAAAATGTAAAAATCTTGGGGAGAGCAGTTTTTGACCAATCACCAATTATGGTGGAATCATTCTTTTTTTCAAATAATGGACTTATACAAACTACGCTGCAGCATGTTAAATCCATCAAGTTTGTGGTAAAGAAAAGACATTGATCTTGATTCAACCAAATAATTGTTTCTTAATGATTTTTTCTTTTTTTTTTTTTTTTCAATGAATTTCACACACATCTATAAGTTCACATATGTAACATATGACAGCTGCACAAAACGTTAAATGATCATAATTTATCTTTCAAAAAATGTTTTAGAACAGAAGTTTATTTTTATGTAGAATAATAATATTCAATAAAAAATGGAGGAGTTCTCATTTAAGAAACTGAAGTTTATCCTATTTTTATTGAATTGTAGTGCCATCTATGATAAAACTTCAAGGACATCTATGATATGACTTCAAGGATATGATATGACTTCTATGATATGACTTCAAGGACATCACAAGATGAGACTAAGATTTTTGGTTCAACAATTTTTTGTAAAATATACAGTGACCTCTCACTTATACACCACTCATTTAAGCCTCTCTCAGTTATGAGAAATTTTTCACTGATCCTGGCTGAAACCTTTGAGAGTTAATGCCTAAAATCTCTTATCTGAAGAACTCAGTTAAATGACTCAGTTCTATACCCCTACAAATGTTTTAGACTAATGAATGTATTTTTCTCACTTTACTGTCATGATTGTCAATCACATGTACAGAGTGGGATCACTTTGTCATAGATCAAACAGGTGCCTAGGAAAAAGCAGAGAGGATTATCATACTAAACATAATATCTGTTTTTAAAAAGAGAGTGGCTGCTGGCTATATGTTTAGATAAAACATGTAATATCTTAGTTATATTTTTAACATTTTTCATTAAAGTTGGTCAATCTTTCTTTTTTTTTTTTTTTTTATAACTCTCACTTATATGAATTTAACATTTGTCCCTTTAGAGTTATTTAACCTAGAGGTCACTATATTTTTTGAGTTTTAGGTGGATTAATCAAAATGGAGTACCCTGTTTTAAAGCAATTCATAATATTTGTGTTAAATTTCATTTTTAAATTATTTTTAAAAATTACATTAAATTTATTTAAAAAATTTAGCATAAATATATAAATCTCTCTATTAAGTTTTACAGCTTTCTATCTTATAAACCAAAATATGATATGTACAGTACTTATTGCATCACAAAAAAATTTTACCTTCCTATCTTTTGGTGTTGTCACAAATGATAATACATATTCAAGAAAAAATACTAAAAATATATTAAAATCTTCTGGAATATTCAATTTTACACGATTCCTCAATAGCAATACCATTTCATCACCATCTCTAAATTAAGAAATAATAATAATTAATCCATACTAAATTATCAAGTTTTTAGTATATTAAATTTTTAAAAATGTAAACAAATTCTTACTTTTTAGATTTTGAAGATGCTATTTTTGACAAACTAGAATTTGAATAATGTTTCATACTACCAATTACTAAATGATGAACTTCCTTTTCTTGGATATAATTCCAACTATTATGAACTCCTACCTGTAATTTAAATGTATCTTTTTATATTAAATATTTCATTTTTATTACATTATTAAATTTATTTCATATTAAAAAAATTTAATTACAATCAATCTTCTTTCGGCAACAGCTATATCAGTACTTGATAACTCCTCTGAAGTTTTGTCTTCTTTCACTTTAGTAATTAATTCATTTTCAAAATCAACAATCGAAGGTGAAATTTTAATAAAAATATGATCCAAGACACATGTTGTACATTTCTGTAATTTGGGTTTTTTTAGTACATCTAAATAAATTCACAATAATAATTTTTATTATATTTTATTTCATTTTAAATAAAAATTTAATACATAAATATCTAAGTTAATTCAAAAATTCTATAATCAAAATTACAATTTTTTTTAAAAAGATTAAAATTTTAAATCAGTTGAATTTGATTTAAAATTATAAATTTAAATTTAAAAGTAAATATAATGAAATTTTATAATTATTAAGGTTTTTCTCTATTATTCTATCAACTTAATTATCAAAAATTCCAAGATTAAAAAAAATACATGTTTTATTTACAATAAAAATTTGTATAACCTTTTCATTATATAATTTACCAGACAGACTTGACTTCAGTTATAATACTTAAGTTATTTTTCTACAGGTATAATCTTGAGTATCAAAGTACCTTTACCCAAATGGAACAACTTTTAACATTTTACCTCCTTGTAAAACTATTGGCTATAACCAAATTTTTGCAGATGCTGGAGTATCATAATATGCATTAGAAGACTAATATGAACACAGTGCTGTGAGATGAAATCCAACGTATGCAATTAAACAATTGTTTTGTGATGGTAGCTAGTCTAACCCTTCAATGTTGGTACCCTCTTTCTTGGATAAAATTTTAAAATTCAAGTGTTTCATAAATCAATTAAATTCATTATTTCACAAGTAAATGTCCTTCAAGATAATTTGATACAAGTAGTGATGTCATTCCAATGCTTGACACTGCAATGACATTCTTCTTAGAAAAGATTGTTTTTTTTTTAATTACAACTATTGTACAAATGGCTGAAAGAATTCAAGAAAAGGCAAAGAGAAATACAAAACAATTAACTGCAAAGAATTGGGGGACACAGCCAAGAAGAAAATCAAAAGTCAAAAGCAAAGAACTACAAATTTTGCTTAATGATTTTAAACAAAATAATGCATAAATTAGAAAGTTAGAAATGGGATTGCTTCTCTATCCACTTACAAAATTTCAATATAGTATAAGAGAGTGGTTTGGAAAGTTCTCAGATCAAATATAATAAAACAATCTGGTTAAATTTTTATTTTTTCAATATAATCTCTTGGAGTAATGTACTAATTCTAGTAGTGTTTCAATGCTTTCACACCAGGAGAAAAAGCCAATTCAAATTCTGCAGAACAGCTGTTCACTACAGCAATGACTTCATTGGTGTGAAATTTCTTGCCTGCCAGCATTTTCTTCAAGTTTGGAAAGAATATGAAAATACTGATGAGCCAAGTCAGAGTATGGAGAATGAGGAAGATTTGGAAGTGATGATCAGCAAGTTTTTGCTGGTGAGGTGGGTGGAATGCACTAGTGCATTGTCATGATGGAAAAGAATTTCTCTTCTTCATATGGACCTTTTCTTTGCAATAGCAGTCTTCAATTTGTCTACGGGATCACAATGATAAGTGGCAGTGGTCTTGTTCTTTTCAAGTAGTCAATGAGTATTTGGTGGTTCCACTGAGGGAACCACTTTTGCCTTCTTCAGAGTTGGTAAAAACATTTCCATTGTTTAGTCTTCAGTATAGTAGTGGATCCATGTCTCATCTGTGATCACATTAACAATGCAAAAATTCCCATAAATTCCTCTGGTAGATGTTCAAACAATTCTTGGAAGTTGGTGCCTGGTTGATTTTATCTATGTTTTCTGGGATGACAGAAGTTGTGGGCCATTAACTGAAACTGTCATCTTCCACACTTTCTTAGTCAAGTTTGAAAAACATTACCCACTTGCTTACCATTAAATACAATAGAGCAGATTCTCAAAACTTGATCCAAATCAGCTTTCACTTAGTAACATTTAATAATAATAATTTGATTGACATAGTTAACCTTCACTACAAACACAGTCACTGCGAGAGTTTTTCTACAGGAAACAAGAAACATCACAATTACATAAAGCAGTAACTCTAGCAGACTCAAATAACACACCATTAAACTTACACTCACATCATACAGACTTGACACAACATATAAAAAGCATAGACAGTATTAAGCAATCGTGGGCTCAAAAGGCACTCCATGGCAGGCATCCTTATGACCTGGCTCAGGATTTTGTTGACAAAACTGTGTCAAACAGCTGGTTAGATCGGGGATGCCTCTTTGGGGAGATGGAAGGATTCATGATTGCCATATAGGACCAGGTCATAAACACTAAAAACTACAGAAAATACATTCTCAAAGATACAACACTCACAAATGACACATGCAGAAAATGTCACATCATGCCAGAAACTATACAACACATTACTTCTGGTTGCAAGCTCTTGGCACAGACAGATTTACATAGACATAATCAAGTAGCAAATATAATACACCAAGAGCTTGCAAAGAAACACAAATTAGGAGACATCCACAAACCAAACTACAAATACATCCCACAGACAGTATTGGAAAACAACACACACACAATGTACTTCAACAAAGCCATAATCACAGAAAATAATTTACCACAACAGACCAGACATCACGCTCATTGACATTGACAAACACAATAAAATCACATACATATCCATTCCAAACACTCACAATGTACAAAACACATGCACTGAAAAAAAATCAGCAAGTACACAGAACTTGCCCAGGAATTAGGATGTGTGGAGGATGGATAGAGTGCTTATTGTACCTGGCTTTCTCTCTTCTACAGGTGTCATACCACACACACTACACAAAAGCCTGGGAACATTACAGTTGAATAGAAACAGACATCACACTACAGAAGGCCATTATGTTGAATAAGTGTCATATTGTTAGGAAATTCCTGAATACAGACACACACGCTGACACTTATTTAATTTTTGTCTTGTTTTCGTTACTATGCCTTGACTTTGGTCTGGCATATTACACAGCAACTGGTGTCAATCGAGTATAACTCACTAAACCCAACACAACAATAAAAGAATATATTGATCATACCTTTTATCTGTAAATCATCATGAGTAGAAATAAGACCAGGTATGACATCAGAATCACATAAAAGAGTATTCTCAGGAAAAAGATGATTTACTTTTAAAAGTGCATAATGAGGATGTACTGTATATACAACTTCCGTTGATTGTAATTTGGAGGGTAATGCATGGCCTACCAAAATAAAATTATTTGTGATAACATCAATAAAATTTAAATCATATTTGAAGATATACTTACCATCTTTCAATTCAAATGGATTTCCTATTACTAATAATATCCGAGGACTACCATGTAAAAGACTTAATCTGAAAATTTCACACATTAAAAAAAAAATCAATAAAACAAAAGTATTTAAATATAAGTTACTTTTGAAAAATTTACATTGTATAATTGTATAGTTCCTATTTTATATATACAATAAAACCTTGATCTAACAGACTAATTTGGGAAAGGAGGTAGCCGTTAAAGTGGAAAGTGTGTTACATAATAAAGTAGATTTTCTGAATAAATTATAAAATATACAATAGATATATTATAATTCAATCTTTGTAATTAATATTGTATAATATATTTAAATAAGTAAAATTCAGAGAATGTAAATGCAACAACAAATGAAATAGAAAAATAAAATAACATTAATGATGAATGATCTGTATATGTATACCTAAATTAATTATCACAGTCAACAATGTATTTGCATAGTAAGCAGGAATTGTGGGTTCATGTCCTCCTCTGGGACAATCTTTTCTTTCAGAATATTCTAAAATTAAATTTATTTTCTACCTGTTAAATATACCATGAAATGGCAGCCTAAATAACTGTGTAGCTACATTACTTTTATGTCTAATTGTTAAATTAGCCTTAAGCAGTCAAATAATCAGGCAGATTATTGGTCACTAATAAAACTATACCAAATTTTTTTCTTAAACTCTTAAATGAATGAAAACAAAAACTAGTATAACAGTTTGATTTTACTGTACTACTGGATATTGTGTTACTGGAATATTAGTATTACTGTAATATTGAATAAATTTTTTTAATAAGAATAAAAAAAATTATGTTTTTTCATCAGTCAGTATTCTCTCTAATGAGTTTACTTCAGTCTTTCAACAGTTTTCATTTATTGTCTACTAGTAGCCCGGGACGCCCCCTAGTAGGCGTTCTTTACAAATTTCCATCAGGCACGGTTCCTTTGACTTTTTTGTTCCTATCAATATGCTGTACAGCTCTGTTAAAGTCCCAATGGTAAGATTTACCCTCCGAATGAAGAGATGGCGACCCCCCAAACTGTAGCCCCTGTGCGAACAATAAAGTCAAAGGAACCATACCCCTACTCGCGATCCTTCACGAGATATAAGCCCCTGAAATAATAAATTCCTATTACAAATATACTGAATTATTTATACTGTTATATTGACCAAATAATAATTTATGGGCCAAATGAATAATAATAATTCATATTGTTAATTTAAATAAGAATTAAAATTGTTAATTTGAATGTTTGAAATATGACACACGATAGGGGCGCCTCTAGTGTCCGTTATGAAATGGTTACGGGACAGACGGACACTTTGAATGGGTTATATATATAGATATGATCAGATAACCAACTTAATTTTATATTAATACAAGGAAAAATGGTGTCACCAAGTGATATAATAAAACAAATAAACTCATATCTAATATACAAAATGAACTAATCTCAAAAAACTTAGAGAGGGTAAAATTTTATATGAGACAGTAATAAAATATGTCCTAACAGTAGAATCGGAAACCAATAAATTTATCAAACTGTACTTGATAGTCTTAAGCAAATAATTAAACAATGTTTAAGATATTGATAGAATTTTTATTTTATTACAAAGTATTACATTTATTTTGTATTAAAAAAAATTAGAAAATAATTTATAATTTTTCNACTGTTACTTCTGTGGTGTGTTAAAAAGGATGAAAGATAGACTCGAAAAATTAAAAAATTTTTTGTAAATAGTCAAAATTCAATTTTTAATTGAAAATATCCTGGGTTGCTCATGTTATCATGTATGCTGTTATGCATATCTATTTATTTATGTTAACATTAAAAATTTTTTATTGAATTTCTGTAAAAAGCCACTTGATTATTAACTGGCATTTTAAATTGTCTGATGATATTCACTGGCTTAAATTTATCACATAAGCTGAATATTTTTTCTTACTAAGTCATTTATTTCCATTGTCATTGCTCAACTTCAATTCTGAAAGAATGGATATTTTGAATTATAAATTAAGGTCAAGAAAAGAACGTAACATTGTGAACGGAAGTGTTGTCAAAGTTCAAGAAATGACTGAAAAGTGAGTAATAAGAAATAAAATTTTAAAAATATTTTGCTGAATTCTCCACATTTATTTAGATATTTTGAATTATTGCTATTTTATTTGAATTAACTTGCCTATAATATCATATATACATAAAAGATAGCTTTCTAGAGTATGCTTAACTATAGAAAAAAGAGAAAGAGAATAATGACTGGGATAATTTAGTATAAATGTGTCACAACTGCATTATCTCAGAAAAAACAGGTTCATTTCTTTCATTTCACATCAGCTAGTGAATAATTATTTTTTGTATATTACTACTAATCTAAAAATTTAAAATTAATATTAGTACATTCATTCACCATTACAAAGCTAATTTCAAAGTCAAAAATATTATTTCGTACTTGGCAACTTTAATTTCACATTATAATAAAACTATGCATTTAACTGTATTTAGACTATTTTAGTTTTTTAATTTATATACTTAGCTTTAAAAAATATAAAAATATAATTATAAAATTAATTTTGTCTAGCAATTTCAACAATATTCATTTTTACTTTCATATCACTATTCAAAATATAACAAAAAATTTACCTTTTCAAAGATGTGTCAGTACTTTTCTTCATAAATTGTAATGGTTGTAATATTCCCCATCCAACAGATTCTGTATATTTAGTGTCTTTCTTCTGAACTGATAACTCAATGATCAATATTAATTTTTCTTCATTTGAAGTATAGAAATAGATATTCTGATTAAAAAAACACACTGATTATAATAGATACATGCAAAGTTTTTAAGAAAGTTTTTACAAGTTTTACTTCTAAGAAAATTTTAGATAATTCCATTACTAAATCTGAATAATAATAATAATTGAGAAAACTATATTTAAAGTAGTTACTTTTCTTACTATTTACATACAGTAGAGCATCGATTATCCGACCCCTGATTAACCGTCACATCGGTTAACCGACTGTTCTAGTTGGCAAATTCAAATGTCCGCTAGTGATGTGGCACTACAATATTTGGCTATGTCTTGGCTACTTTAATAGTAATTTTACATGTTTTAGCTGGCAACATGGCTCGACCATGAAAGGGAGCCAGTATTTAAACGAGGCTTAATTTTCTAATTTTTAATGGTACAATAGCGATGATTATTATTTTAAAAAATTTTTGTTAGGCTTAACATCGATGAAAATTCAACGCAAAGTAGGTTAATTAATAGCAATATACTAATATACTAATTACATGAGATATACTAATATACTATATTAATAATGTATTTTTTCATATTTTTTGGTTATCCGTTTTTTCAGTTATCCAACCAACCCCAGTTCCCAATTGAGTCGAATAATCAATGCTCTACTGTATAATCATTAACTGTAGTTAAAAAAGTATTCAACATAATCACATTAAAAATATTGTATATAAAATTAATTATTATAATACAAAACCAAAAATATATAAAATTTTAAGTATACAAACATTAATTTACATTATTAATATTTTGTACTTAAATTCATTCACTTATTAAAGTTTAACTTTATGAAATCTTTATTTATTATAAGGTGTTTCAATAACTAGATTCAGTTTGATTTGTATATTTTTTAATCATTTAATTTTTTAATAAGACACCATTAATTTAAAGATGCACCTTTATTTCAGACAAGTAAAAATGAGTAAAAAAACAAATATTTTAGAATCAAGCAACTTTGGTCAGACACCAAAGTTGCTTGATTCTAAAATGTTTTTTTTTTTTTTAACTTATTTTTACTTGTCTGAAATAAAGGTGCATCTTTAAATCAATGGTGTCTTATATTTTTTGTCCAAAACAATTGGAAGACATTGCAAGCAGGCCACATGGTGCACCAATTCAAATTTTTAGATATACTGCTCAATGTTCATCACTTCAAATGTACTTTACTGGTAACGAGCATTTAATTTAAACTCCTTTTAACACTTAAAATGTCTTCAAGATGATATTATTATGCAGCATTAAAACAAACAGTTATTCATTTTAATGTTGCATCATACTTCATCATGCATCATTTGACAGCTCCATATCTATATTAATAGAAATGGAGCTGTCAAATGATGATGATGAAGTATGATGCAACATTAAAATTAAAATTTCTATATTAATAGAAATGGAGCTGTCAAACTGTTTTATAATATTTGTATTATGTTTTACAACCTTATTATTAGACAGAACTTAATAAAATTGATTATTTAAAAATGTCTCTTCATAAAAAAATCTTAAAATTCAATTTCAAACACATGTCTTAGAATTCAGTTAATACAGTATTTAGATTTAAATATTTAGCTAATTACAAAATATCAATGAATGCTTCTACATAAACTACAATATCACTTTAATTGTATCTTGATACTGTTTCATGAATTGAAAAAACTTTTTCAGATTAACTAAATTCATCATCAATAAGTTTTATAATATATTTTTTGAATATTCCATATTATATATAAAAGTTCTTTATATATATATATAATTAAACTAAAAAATCTTTTGAATTTAATCTTTCCTCGTTTTTGTTTCACTTACATTAAAAAATTTAAGTGTAAAAGAAAGCTACAAAAAAGCTTTTAATTAAAAATTTCAACAGATAATTTGATTATGAGAACAGCTTTTCAGATAAATTTTTTATCCAGCTTATCAAGCAGCAGCATAATGAAAGAGTAAAATTTAATTTTAAGGTCTGATGCATTCATTAGCTTTCATCTCTTAAGTTTTAATTATTTTTTGACAGAAAAGAAATTTTTTCAGGCTTTTCTTCTTACATTTTTTCCATGTTTTTAATAAAGTATTAAGTAAATAATTAGTAATATCAAAACATTCTTGTAATACAATTATCAATGCATTTCTGAATAAAAACTCTCTTAACTTATGTATTGCACAATTTTGGAATCACAATACAATGTAACATGATACAATATTCATATAAAAGTTATTACAAAATGATCAGGGAATACAAAATGCAGAAAATTTATGTTGGACAGAGCTCTTTTCAGGGCCACATATTCCATCATAAACTACATATACAGATAGCTGATTGGTGAACCTGACACTGAATTGTTGTAAAAGTTTATCAATTCCCCAAACAAAAAGGTAGGGCAATTTCAGAACTTTTGAATCCAGTATCTCTGGAAGGAATCATGCAAAAACGTTACTGCACATTTGCAGACCACTCTTGTCTATCAATGCCTAATTTGTTCAAACTAAGTAATCTAAGATTCAGCTAATAAAAATATTTACATATATATAAAAAGTTTATTTTAATTTTGATTCTACTATTCAAATTAAAACATAAAAGTAGTAAGGATATTTCAAATAAGTTCAATTTAAAATTATTTTGTTGTTGATTAAAAACCAATTTAAAAACTTCATATTAAAAAAAATATTGAAATGAAGTTGTTTTAATTAAAACAAAAATTGTTACTAATAAATACTAAGGCTAATAATGCAAAAAACACAGCTTAAAAATACTTATTTACTTGAAGATAATAACTTCATGCCAGGTGTACTCAGTAGAGAAAGACTGATATATCACCTGAAGGTTGTTGAAATAAAATTATTTAACAAATGTTTTCAACCTATTACCACAGGCCATATTCAGATTTTGAACTAAATTTTATAAAATTGTTCCAAAAAGAAAACATTCTAGTTTTGAATTTTACATTTAAACTATTCTAAATACAAATTTAAAATAGCATGAAATAAATAATGAAAAATATAAAGTTAACAAAATAAAAAATTATGAAAGTATAACATAAAAGTAAAACTATAGTTAATTGTAGAGGAACACACAACAAGAATTGTGTCAATCTTTTTTTCTATGACATATTTCCAAGTTGAAGGTAGTGTGTTTACATCCCTAGCATTCAGGCATTGTTCTTTAATTTTGATCTTGTAAATATCTGATTCCGTGCTATTAATTTTAAAATTTAATGTTTGAATTAAATTAAAAAGATTAGCAAAGCTAAACGTGTTGGAAGTTAACAGAAGTTCATGATATTTTCTCTTGATAACATTCTTCCTTTCAAAATGAAATCTGTTGAGTTTGACTCACCCAAGGAAGTTTGAAAAGAAAAATCTGGGATTGGATAATAATCTCACTTTCTACCCAATTTTACCAAATTTGATTTTGTCCAGAGACGTGAGAAAGATGATATAAAAGAAAAAAGTGCTAGAAGGTCAGGGAGTTTGTCTGCCACTATCACAGAGACAACTCCAAAAGATTCTCTCCTCCCAACAATGATCTAATGCCTGATTTTTCAATAGTTAGTGCACTTAAATTTGGATTTGATGTCCAGGGACTTGCTGCTGTATGTGACAAACATTTTGACATTTTGATAAAACTGACAATTGGTGAAGGAGCACATTACTTAAAGAAGGTATTTTATCTCCTCGCACAAACTGATTGTGAACTCTCTCTCATGGAAATAGATGCAAATAAGTTACACAAGAACTTTATAAAGTTCTTAACTCTCTCTAGATAGTTTTGGATAGCTTATATTGTTATATGTAGCAATAGTAGGTTATATAATCATATACTACAATATAAGAATATGTAAAAGGTAATTTTTAATATTATAAAAAACGTAGTTTTCTGCTACCTTTCCTAACATACATCGATAATCTCTTATGTTGAAATAAATCTTTACTATTAACTTAATGATAAAACAACAAAGTGAATCATTTTCAGGTTCCCTGTCTCAACTTCCTCCTCTGTTTGCTTATACCCAAGTTTCCCCATATGCAACTGTTTGCACACATGTTAAAAAGGTTTCCTATGAAACTAAACTCACAGGTGGTGCCAGATCCTGACCCACAGACCAATATGACCATGTCACATCTATTTTTACCATATACATAGCAACGGTTGGAGCATGTACTGTTTTAATGATGTTTTCCTCATCCCACTTTACAAATGAGCCTTACTTTTAGCAGCAATGTCACAAATGAATTACTATAACATTTTTCCACATTACACTTGTGTTCCTTGAGATGCATCATCAGGGGTCAAAAAAGATTATAAAAGGAAGCCTCACAGTGCATCTCAAGGAACACAAGTACAATGTGAAAGAAAGCCATAGTAATATAATTTTAGCAGCAATGTCACAAATGTTCAGCTCAGTTGTAAAGTGGGACGAACCAAACATTATTAACTGTTTAAACTCTGAAAATTTCTTCTTTCTATGTACTTGCAGATTAAACTTTTTACATCTCAGGCTACAAAGAGAAAAACTAGTCAAACAACTTTTCCATTGACCAATTTCGTTTCTAACAAATTAAGCTAATTTTAGTTTGAAGAGTTAAAACAGTACTCTCCAGCCATTGCTAGAGATATGGAAAAAACATATATACAAGAGCAAAATTAAAGAATATGAATTCTAGGGACACAAATACATTACTTTCAGCTTGGAAATACATATTAGAAAAAAGATTAAAACATTAAAAATCCTTGAGTTGTGTGTTCTCCTACAATCAACTTTAGCTTTAATGTTATACTTTCTTAATTTTTATTTCATATTTTTTCATTTTATTTTTATTTTAATTAAATCAGTGGTTCCCAAACTTTTTGATTCTCGGCACCCTTGCTAAATCCAGATTTTCCCAAAGTGCCCGTTTCAATTATTTTTACAAAAGCTGAAATTTTCTCAATCGACTTTAAAAGGTGCATGTTGCTTCCCTGCAAGGAGAGATTTGGAGCATTCAGCTTTTCAAAAATATCATATAAGTATTCTAGTTTTACCAAAAAGTCTTTATTCACAAAATTTTTGGAATACTTCTGGTCTTCCGCTTTCAGAAATATATAAATTTCCTGTCATAGTTCACACATACAAAACAAACCATTACCTCAAGAGAGCCATTGCTCTCTCGTGGTAATGGTTTGTACTTTCTCGAAGTGCTGTAGTACAACAGATGTGTGTTCAGATCCCATACTCACACATAGTTTTTTGAAAAATCTTGCATTCTATGGCCAAGTTTTTATAAAGTTTACTACATTCACTACATATTCTAAAGCCATGTAGGCAAGGTTCAATGTAGGACTCAGATATTTTGATGCGTGTGCTTCCCTGTGAATAACACAATGGGTCCAAAGTGCATCAGGGTCTTTGCTTCAAAAAAGTGCTTGCAATCCTCGAACACCTGGACATAGAACGAGCACCATCAGTACAGATACCAATGTATTTGGGCCACTCCAAATTACTTTCGGACATAAAAATATCAAGGATCTCGAACAAGCTGTGAGCCTTAGCACCAGCAGTGATACTTTTATAAAAGAGAAAGTCTTCCACAATGTTATTACTATCTATAAACTATTCATAATAATAATGCTCACTTGATTTGCTATTATCTGTGTCACCATACAACTACAACCCAAATTCCTTCACTTTTATTTTTTCAACTAACTGAACATTGAAGGTCCTTCACTATGTGCTGTATTTTGCAACTGATGGTGTTATTGGACAAAAGCACTTTTGAAAGCTGCTTCCCAGCAGACTCACTGATCATAATGTTCACCATATGTACAGCAGTCGGTAGAACAGAGTTTTTCTGCAATGGTATGAGGCTTTTTACATTTTGTGATTATATGTCCACATTTATTACTCAGTTAATGATTTGCACCAGGTCTGCTAGATGTCACATCTTATCACATTGAATTGAAAGGGGAAGTAAAATTATGAAAATTTTATATTTTGTGGTGGCCCTGTGAGGAAGCTGCGGCGCACACTTTGGGAACCACTGAAATAAATTATGAAAAATATAAGGTTATTTAATTCATGCAATCTTAAATTTGTATTTAGAAATTTAGTTCAAAACCTAAAGATGGTCTATGGAAATAGATTGAAAACGTTTGTTAAATAAAGAATTTTCTCTCAGCAAACCTCAGGTGACGTAATAAGATTTTGATAATGATAAAAATAACCAAACTGACTATAAAAATAGATTCTATTCTACTAAAAATCTATAATATGAAGCTGATTAAATTGATGTGTATCACCTATTTTTTCAACTTATAAATATTAAAGCATAAAAATATATTACTAAATAAAAACTTACTTTTTCAATATTAAGTTTTCTTTTTTTTATATCACTAGTATTTAGTATAGTACATGTTCGTCCAATAAACTGATTTTCTTGTATATCAAACAAAGTACCATGAACTTGACAGAATTCAACTTGGTTACTCTAAGGAAAAAAAAAGATAATTAAATTGTTGGCATTTTAATTAGTATAGCCCTGACTGTATTTTAGTTATCATAATTTTAACTGTTCATTTGTTCTAATAGATGCATTTCTAAAAAAGCAGACATTAAAAATAAAAATATTTAATGTTGATAAATTTAAAATTTATTTTAATATGTAAAAAATGTAATTTACAATATAAAATTCACTGCACATAATGCATATGCCAGTGGTTCCCAAACTTTTTCGATTCTTGGTGACCTTGCTAAATCCAGATTTTTTCAAGGCATCTGTCCTATGTCAAATTCTAACAATCAAAATTTGCAAAATAGCCAACAATATTTTTAATTAGAGTTAGGATGTTAAGTTAAAAATAAATAAAACACGTATTCAATTAAAAAAAAAATGTGATTGAATAAATTCAATTAATTATAATTAGTGGCATGGATAAGCCTGTTGATCACCACACATTTTCTCAAATCTTGGAATCAAAATAAACACAGCCACCCTCATTTTCTTCTCCACATTGATTTTCATGTGATACTTACTTTTTATCACAGCAACAGCCGAAAACACACCTTCGCACAAAAAAAAGTTGCAAACAGAATTAAAATTCTCTGAGCTTTACCACTCAGAAGAGGATATTCCTCTTTTACCGGTATACAAAATTCAATTAATTTCATGCTGCTAAATTTTGTATTCAATGTGTTTTTGCAAGTCAACTGAATAAGATTCTTTTTCTACAGCAATAGATTCAGATGGAGAACTGGCATTAAGTAAATCTTGAATCCATGCAAATTTATGAATATTATCAGTTTTAAAATATTTCTCAAACTAGGTGATACACAGTGATAAATGGTTTTCAAAAATGGATTTTATACCTCAAGAGAAACTCAACTCTACTGGAGGTTAAAAACTGTTGCAACAAGGAGTTACATTCTTTTCCTCTATCTTCATTTCTTTTTCCTTTGCAGGGAGAGATTCAGAGCATTCAACTTTTTTCAATAATATCACATAAGTGCACTAGTTTTACCAAAATCTCTTCATTAACAAAATTTGACATTCTTGGGACCTTCCTCTAAAAAAAAATATAAATTTCTTTTTGCAGTTCAAACATATAAGATAAAACATTACCACAAAAAATCCATCACAAAGTGCTGTAGTACAACAAAGACATGTGCTCTGATTCCATAACATCACAGTTTTTTAAAAAATTTTGCCTTCAACAATCAACGTTTTTATAAAGTTTACTACATTCACTACATATTCTAAAGCCTGGTTCAATGTAGAACTCTGATATTTTGATGCTTCTCTGTGAATAATGCAATGGTCCACAGTGCATCAGGGCTTTGCTTCGCATAAGTTCTTGAAATCTTCCATAACAGCCAGATATAGAATGAGCACCATCAATACAGACGTCAATGCATCTGGTTTACTCTTAATTATTTTCAGATAGATCTATAACAAGTCTTGAACCTTAGTACCAGCAGTGATACTTTTACAAAAAAGGTGGTCTTCTACAATGTTATTACTATCTATAAATCATACATAACAAATCAAGTGAGCATTGTTATTATTATCCATGGCTTCATCCAGTTGCAACCCAAATTCCTTTCCTTTTACTTTTCATTTAACTGATCATTGAGGTCCTCTGCTACGTGTTGTATTCTGAGACCGATAGTGTTATTGGACAAAGGCACTTTTGAAACCTGCTTCTCAGCAGACTTACCGATCATAATGTTCACCATATCCACAGCAGCTGATAGAATGAGTTCTTCTGCAATGATATACGGCTTCTTACATTTTGCAATTATCAATATATGTGCCATCTTGTAAGATGCTAGCAAAGCATTGATTTGTATAGATTTTTTTGCATTGATTGATTATAGTGTTATAGTGGAACATAAGAACATGAATTTAGATATTAAACTGTTCTTGTTATAATGCAGCATACATGAGGCTAATATCACAACTCAATCTTCAATAAACAGACAACCTGCAACAATATACAACAAGCTTAGTCAATCCAATCTGATAGCATGCTCCACAAAAGTAAATCAAATATTAATTGTGTTTAAAATAAATTTTATAAATTCTTGGAATCAAATAGTTTCTGTGCATGCACGTGGACACGTGCAATAAATGGACTGAATGGTAACACTTAGGTAATGAAAGTGAAGTCATTGCACATGCACATGGACATCTGACAGACTGACATACAAAAGTCCTAACATAAGCACTTCACTACTGTAGTGGAGCATGCTAAAAAAACTGTCATTCTGGCATTATATGCTCTATCAAACACTACACAAATATAAAAAATCTGACTTGCCACATGGTGAGAACTCAGTTTACCAACAGCTTGCTTGCATGATTAGTAAATGTGACTTGTACCAATGGCTTGTTACAAATGTCTGCATTGTTCTGTTTGGTATGTACAGTACTTTCAACGTGTCTTGCAACCAGTTCACACATACATACATTAGACATATATCAAAGTGTTCTTTTTTCCTCTTGACCATTACAAACTTACAAAAATTGACTGCAGCAATACTGAAGATAATATCAGAATAGTGTATACACACATACTTTGAAAGCAAATACATTAGTAATATGCCAAACAACTGCTGTATTAATAAATACCATATTAGTATATACCATGCTGGAGTCATGCGATGGCTGGCTGAGTGCCATAGTATTTCATTTTCATAAAGAGGATGAAGACTCGGGACTACTCATTGGTATTGCCCGAGTGTGAAGAAGAGTAAAGGAAAGGTAGTTAAGGGAAGAGGCGAAGGGGAAAGAGTAAAGCGAGATAGGAAAGGGGATGAAGAGGGAAAGTTTCATGGGTGCCCAGCCTGTTTTATTAAGAATCAAATGAAACATACAGATATGGCTCCTGGCCATCAGATACAGACAATAATTGCAATAATTACAGTATGTACAATTGAAGACAGTTTGATTACACGTAGTTTGAAAACAATTTTAACCGAAAAAACAGAAGAACATAAATCAAATCAATATTTTGAACAAATACAGTTCTTGCCTGTCAGAATACAGACGATAAATAAACTTTTAACAAAATATTTTAAGGAAAATGATTACACACAGAATGATCAAATTTACTAATCGAAAATACAATAGTAATTAGACAACATTAATTAATGTATTAATCAAATATGGCTTCTCGCCATCAAAAAACATAAATTATACATTGATGAAATCTGAATCTTACAGTTATCACCGAAAGTAAAGTATTACAATAAATTAACTTAAACTATATATCGAAAAGGTTATAACAAGTACGGCTTTTCGCTGTCTAGTACAAAATAATTAGAAACAAATGTAGGGGCATGAGTGCCATAGTAGGTGATCACAGGATGTGGGTGCTAAAGTCATCCCTAGCTGATATGATATGATGTAACATTCTTCATTATATGTTAAATATGTCTGGAAGGGAAGATTGGTCTAGAAATCTAAGTAGCCCAACTAGCAATGCATCCACATGGTAAGCAGGAATTGCAGATTCAAGTCCAAATTATTTATTAATATTAATTTAATTATAATTATTACATTTAATAAGAGGTGGCACCTAACATTTACCTTTAGTTACAAATTATTTAGAAATTAAAATAATAGTGGTAAAGTAGTCCAATTTAATCTAGCAATTTGGCATATAGTAAAATACTATATTATTTTTCTGCCCTCTACAACGATTATCGACAACACTGTGTGCTGGAAATAGCCGTTACCTAACGGGTACTTTACGTGGATTCGCGTTAATGTGCCAAGCCTGGACTTTAAGCATGCACCAAATTAAATAATGGCAAAGTTAGTCAATAACAAATCAAATATTTAATAAATATTCTAGTAATAACTATATACAAAACTTAGTAAAAAATCAAATAACAATTTATTCAATGAAAATCAATAAGAATCAACCCGACAAAACTCAAATCAATCTATTTTCTAACTTAACTCTATTCCCCTTTGGAATTCGACAAAATTCAAAGACTTAACTTATGCACAATAATGCTTATAAATTAAAGGTCCTAATCGTCACCTCAATATAGTAGGAACCTTTTCCTCAACTCTCAAGACTTTCTCTAATCTTCGATCCACAAATCGAATAACCTCAAAATCGCTTTGGAACTACTTTATCCTATTGGACACCTCTCTCTCGTTTACTGCTACGAAGCTCACCATGCTCGCTGCTAACAGAAGCTCACCTCGTCCATCTTCACTTGAGATTCGGTCTTTATACTGTGAGGTGACATCACAATTCTGAGAGCGATCACTCCCCTCATTTACATACTTATTTGCTAAAAAACTTTTTTCTGTTTGTCTGGCAGCCTATTTTCCGACAATACTCGCTAACCTTTTACATTATTCTTTTTGACAATTTTTGGGATGTTTTATTCTTTTAAGGTTTAGCAAGTTTCCTAAGTTGTGCTTGTGGGGTCTCCCCCCCCTTTTTCTCAGTGCGGACTTACTTTTCTCCACTCGGGAACGCACATGTGCATGATTTTTTTTCTACGGCACTTTTCCCTCGTCGGTGAGTTGGTTTCTCTTCTATTTAAGTTTCTAAGGTGAATGGTGAGGAAACCTTCGTCCTAACAAAACATAAGCCCCAAACAAAAATAGAATAATAAGCAAAAATAAAAGTAACTAAAAATAACGCTTGGACTTGGTTCCTTACAATATTACTAATATATTGTATTTTGGAATGTTTGTATATGTCAACAGATAAGTTTGCTAGTTTACACTTTAACATGTCAAACTGTTTCAACAAAAAGTTCAATGTAACCAATTCTGGCCATCATTTTTCCTTAGCAATTCAACACCAAGTAACAATGCTGTTTGCCAAGAAATCACAATTCAAGATCTGTGCCAGATTGATCTTTGTGGAATGTTCATTGGTAGCAAACATTGTGAAATCATCATGCAGCTACAAGTTCCAGACCATGTGGCAATGAAAGAACATACAGATCAGTTCTACATTGTCTGAACCCAATTTCAACAAGTATTTACATATTTTGTTTGAACCATACAACCCCCTTGTTTAAAGATATATTAATTGCAGATGAGTTTCTAGACTCAATTTGGCTTTGGCTTTTTAAGGATATCTGAGATTTTAACATAAATGTCCTTAATCACCTATTAAGAATTACAGTCTTCACAATGGCACTACTTAAATGCTACAGCAGTGCAAATAAGATACTCAATGCAGTTCATGATATCACGGATGTGTGTCATGGTAATCAATAACATGTCTCTGTGTAAAGCTCTGCACCATAAATCTTGCTTTGTGACAATTTAATGTACGATCTGCATTCTATTTAAGTCAGGGCTTGAGACCTAAAGCAGAGCTCCATCAGGCAAACTTTCCTAAATACTACTGATTTGCAACAACTAGTTCATCACAAATGGCTTATAGCCATTGGTCTCAATTATTTCACAGAAATATTACCAGTCACAAACTAGACTTGAGGTACATTAAAATCCACCTTACCGACTCATCCTCATCATCAGATAACATGATTTTCTTGTTCTTCTGGGCCATTGTTTATGTTATTGGCTCCATCATCCACTGTTGTCTTCAACACTAACCTCAACAATCATATGCTAGATAAACAACACAAAGCTTCTCATGATCCTTCTGGAGTCCACTGAGGTTTCATTTTGGCAAGCCCTATACTCAATTAACACCCCTACTGTCACTGGCAATCATCGTAATCATTATTGTTTAAAATTTAGTCAAATATATCACCAAGAACACAATCACCCACCACTCAACAAATGTGGTTCAAACACATCCAATAATTTGTCATAGCATTGGGTATTTTCTGCATCACTGCTCCAACAACAGATTCATTGACATATGTTGCAAGTGATGTATGTTTTCTTTTCAATTGGATAAAACACTGCTTTACTAACATGCCCAGTTAGCACACCAACTTTAGCAGCAGAACGCAACTTCTTTCCATTAGGATGAAAATACTTTGGAATCAAAAATGCATAGGTGTTTTACCTTTGGCTTAAGGCCAGCCACAGGATAATCTAGTATTTTGCCATTTAAATGCTGTTGTCAGTATCTTATTACTCAGATATATGGCTGTCATTACAGCTTCTCCCCAGTAGCTGGTAGCAAAGTAGCAGTTTTGTTGACACCAACAAAGCTCTTGCTGTGCTAAAATCTACAATGAGCTTTTTGTAGACCACAGGACCTTTTAAAGCATGGGACCAGATTCCAAGGAATGCACTGACAGGGCCTGCATTACCATATGGGCAAAATTTTCATATATTTATACAAAATTTTCAGGCTTATTATTTTTCTAAATATTTATATTTTTATTTATATTACATGGCATGAGTTGAATATTGATTTCATATGCCATATTGTGCTCTGTTAAACAAAATTTTTCATTTCATGTAAGGGAGTAAGGGAAATCAAATGCACAACTTGCTTCAGGCAGCATAAACTGTAGCCAGCTCTGTGCACCAAACCACTTTGCACCAGCCCGTAATGTAATTACAAAAATTATTTCAGAGAGAGAGCTTAAAAAAAAAATAGTTATTTTCATATATTTTCTGCATTTACATTTAACAGATAAGAAAAATAATTTTCATTAAGAAAAATGATTATTGCTTAGTTTTGCATTAATCAGTACTTTAAAAATATGCAATAACTATAAAATATCCAAAAATATTTAATCTTGATTTTCATTAAAAAAATTCAATAAAAATAAAATATTAATAGATTTTGATTGGATATAGCTATGTATATGCATGTAGACAGACATCTCATAAATCTGGAACTATAGAAGTCACATTGATCTTTAGCAAAGAGGAGATCTTATTATATGGTGAAGTTTTTGATTTTACTAAGTCCTATTAGTAAACAAGGGCCAAGTAGACAATATGTACAGAAATGTAAAACAGTATAGACAGAGGTAAAACAAATTAACATTGGCTGCATTCAGCAGAGTCAATAGTCGTAACTGAGCAAGAAGTGTTTCAATTGGTAGCCGTTATATAGTTATATCTGCTGAATGACAAGTGACGTATGTACTGGAACAAAAAGTAGCCATCATTGGTCAGTTTCAGGTAGCAATAGGTAGAGTAAATGAAATATGCTACTAAATGTGATGTCAAAATACCAAACAGGTTCCAAAACAGTGCTACTGTAAAGGGCATTTAGCAGAAAAGTGCTCAACAGCTCTGGAACTGTTGAGTCTGCCGAACGCAGCCATTGATCTTAGTTTCTTCTTTTACGTTAAAAAAGTACGACACCAAGTAAAGAGGAATAAATTCAAGTTATTTTGATGGAGAGGGCCACAGTTAGAGCGAAATCTCCGAAAAGTAGGCTGCATCCAGACTTCCCACCAATTACACACAGTCCAAAAGCAGCCAATTAAACTCTTCAATGACATTTCACCAACAGCAGGTTCTCAACATCCAAACAACTAATCTATTCCTCTTTATTCAGCACCTGTAAAAGAATAAACAAAGATCAACATAAACTCTAATTATTCTTATTACGTATTTTATATAAAGTTATATTTATAAACGTTTGCTTATTATTTGTGTTTTTATTTTGATTTTTGGTGTAGGAATTTTGCAATATTTTATTTTATTTATTTGTTTTAATGTTAAAATAACGAAATTCGCATTTCCCTTACTTGAAAAGGAAGTCCATCAATAAATAATAAATTTACAGCAACGGCAACATCCTCACTTTGTTCGATTTTCTTTTTATTTTTGTCATTAAAAATCAAACGTTTGAATTTCAATTCTCGTCTGGTTTCCATGTTTTCTTAACCTATCAAATGCGCGACTCTGCTGCCCCCTGGATTTATTGGTAAGAAGTATTTCTAAATGATCCTAATATGGATTTTTTACAGATAAAATAATTAATATAAAATTAGTAATTTTAATACAAGTTTAAAAATTCTATAAATTAATTTTAATGAACATGTTTTTATATTTTTTGTAAAATTATTCTCGCTTTACTAAAACGGCGTTTTAACACGTTTTTCAAGGATTTGACCAGGCCCGGCTCAATTCAAACTCCGAATGATACATTTGGGAGCTTGAAAGAGCTGTAGAACATATTGATAGGAATAAAAAAGTCGAAGGAACCATACTTGTACGGGCGACCCTTCGCGAAATATAGCCATCCCAAAATTACTCCACGGGTCACGTGGCTGCGTTTTTTTTTTCTATCTCCAAACACTCTCCATGAACGTGCATGTTTTCGATTTCCGTTCCAAACCCACACGGATGAGTATTTCTACGCGATCGTCACCTTTCAACTGCTACTTCCGGGGAGCGCGATCGGGAGTAGCGCCGCTCTCTGCTAAGCCTATCGCGTGTTTAACAGGCAGCCCGGCAAGCCGGCCATATATTCTATCGGCAAAGACTAAAGATTATTACGGCTATTTAGCAGTGGCGTGCCGTCATTGGAAGCGATGGATGCGCCGCTTCCCTTGTATTTGCTAAAAAATACATATTAATTTTAATTATATGAAAATAATCGCATAATATCGCGGCCGGATAGCAGAGCGGTCAAGGCGGCAGCCCACCGCTCTGGGGGACCCGGGCTCGAATCCGAACGAGTCGAAAAATCCCCAGGAATCTTTCGGGGGGTGGTCCGTTCGGATATGTTGGGCCCCGTCCCTCACCACCCGGCAGCCCCATTGTGGGCCTGGCCGAACTCATAATGGGCTTGCAAAAAGAGGCCCTCTTAGTGCCCACAGGGCGGAAAGAGTTATTCGGTGGAAGCCTAGGACCTTGGGTGGATGTTACACATATACCGCATCCAATTCTATCCGGGACCGGTTCCGGGCTGTTAGCCGCCCGCCCGCTAGATATTTGGCCGCCCTCGCCCGATTCACGTAATCGGGCNGATTCACGTAATCGGGCGAGGGCGGCCAAATTCTTGTATAATGTTAAAAAAATTAACTGTTACTTCCACAGCATCGTTTACAACTAAATTTAATGAATGAGAGAGATTCACGAGGTACAAAAAAAGCTCTAGAATTTTAATTTCAGTTTTGTCTTTTTGTTTTTTTTCCAAAAATCATTACATTATTATAACCTTCCATCCCCTTGTAATGCATCAAAACAATTACTTGCATATCTACCACCCATATTTGCGTGATTATATGGACAGTCCCTAGTTCGTTACCTAAAAATTCCAGATTCTACAGTGGCAGTAGAACCAGAAAATAATTAACGCGGCACATAATTTTCCATTGTGTGAAATGCTCGATAGATTGCATAAAAGTAATAATGGAAATTTTTTAAAGAACTATTAGCAGAGTACGACCCAGTTATGAAACAATACTTAATGAGAATCACTAGAAAGATGCGTTATGCGATATGGGTGGGTGAATATACAGGCTGGGGTGCATTTCCCATTAATTTAACTTGTCCTGAGCCTAGGGGCGCAAGAGTTTGGGAGGAGTAAAAATCCGGAATAATAATAATGATAATAATAAAAGGAAAAAATAATTTTATGTAAAAACAGCTAATAAAGATATTAGGACAAATTAAAAGCTTAAGTAGGAACAATATCTTTGTTCTTTGTTTATTCTCTTAGTTGTCTTTCTTTCTCAATAGATGGCGGTACTCCATAACACATCGAAACAAGGTTACTAGATAATACTGCTATTGTTGAGTGCGTTCTTTTATTCCTCGCGCGCGGCATTCGTTTAAAAATTCCCGCGAAGTACGTGCCATCAAACGGCAAAACGGTTGCTTGTAATATAGTAGTTTACGGTGGAAATCAACATGTCATCCTCCACGACTCCAGATAGTTTCGTTTCAGTGCCCATTATTGATTTTATGAATGAAAATTTAAATACTGTGAAAGTGCGTGTTAATGCACACAGTCGTGTATGTAAATGTCATCTCGAATTTTTTTCGAATGGTAGCCCACATTCTAATTTTTTCGTGGCTACATTGAATGGTCTGTCGGCAGGACAATCCATTTTATGGTTACATTTTACAATCGAGACTATACTTTTAACTTTTATCTCCAAAAAACGCATAAAAATCACAGTTCCCTAGGCTATCGCGATACTAATCGATAGTACGGATGCCACCATTATTATTATTATTTTTTCACCAAATGCCTATAAACAGCAGTGCACGACCGTGATGGCAATATTAATTAATTAACGAATGTACCCTTAATCACCCTTCGTTTTCGTTCTAGAGACAGGTTCCGATCATTCGATAGACAAAGTTTTCGAGAGTCGTGTTAGTACTGTACGTGTGTATTTTAAGTGTTGTGGTTTTTTACTTATTTCAGTTTTATTTTTTGTGTTTTTTTGTAATATGCGATTGTTGGATTCCCGTTTAGATCATCTGTTTTTAAACAGACGCAGGAAAATTGTCGGCTTTTTAAATACCGAAACGCTTAGAGAAAGTTGTCTCGATTTGTTTTCTTTACTAATAGGCTACCATCGCAATGTAACTTACATAGCAATAGCATTATAATGTAACGTACTGTACAGTATATAATATATATACCATAATACTGTACTTTGATGAAATGTTTTTCTTCACAAAACCTTAAAATTAACAAGACAAAAACGTGAACAATTGCAGAAAAAACTTAAACACAACAAACATTATACTAAAAAACAATGTAAAAAGTTTATTCGAAAACTAGAGAAATGCTTTCTAAGTCAGACGTGTCCCGATGGCGGTAAATTGTAAGGCCCCGATTTATAGTGTAAGTTTCCGGTATATCATTATCTCACAGACTACGGTAAATTTAGTACTGTATCGGAATTTCTAGATACACGTTGGCGACGCTAGTTTATTTCGGAACCGCAGGTATGTATCGATGATTAGAAATATAATCGCATCGTCAAGTTTGTACAGTAAGAACAATAAACTTATCAAGTAAATCGACGCTATTTGCGTTTCCAATTCGTTTGATTCCAGTCGGTTTGATTCTAAACACAACCGTTTGTTGTATTTCAAACCGCAATATAACTACACCGGTGATGACAAAGCCACCGAGAAGGTATGAGGAAACTTCAGAATTGGTCGTTATCGCTTCTCGGCCTATGGCTTAGATCGTTTGTAAATTTCTGTTCTGATCAGCTTAATATCTGATTCGCTTCTACAAGAAGCAGCTTCGATATTAAACTGTTTTTTGGAAACTGGCGAAGAGTTGGAGCTTGCTCCTCCTTTGCCGCGGGTTTACTCGAATTTGCACTACTTTCGAGATTAGCCCACTACCCTGCGGGGTAATAGTTCAATAAAAACTAGAAAATTTTGTTTTACGTTGTTTCTTTTACTTTTAGCAGAATAGTCGCTATTTCCATGTCTCAATGCACGCTTGGAAAATGTTAACAGTCTCCATTTCTGCTTTGTTTCGGTAACAAACTCTAATTGGTCAGTCGAATAAGATGTATTTACTACAGCAAACGGTGCATGGATTATGTTTGACTCCGCCCTCTTCTCTACTGCTCTCCAAATCACGCATATTTTTCTTGCCTTTAGGTCCCGCGATCACTCCGTTGCGAAGTTCCGTTGTTTTTTTCTGCGTTGTTGCATTAAATTGTTCTCAATTATAGCCTAATTTGGTGCCTAAAGTCATTAATTCGTCCACCACCTCTTTGTTCGAGTATGCTGAATGTAGCTATCCAGTCTTAATTAGTCAGCTAGCTTTCTTTTTGTTAAAACTAGTTTCCGAAATCAATTGGCATCTTAGCCAGACGTTTCTCTGTCCCTTTTAACGTTGAACAACCAGGCCACTCGTCGACAGTTTGGCGGAGATGATTTGACAGGCTTGTACCCGAATACTGCGTTGAACTGCAGTGGACAGCTTCGCATAATACCCTCTCCACTAGTGAAGAGGGCATTATGCGCAGAAAAAAACAACGGAACTTCGCAACGGAGTGATCGCGGGACCTAAAGGCAAGAAAAATATGCGTGATTTGGAGAGCAGTAGAGAAGAGGGCGGAGTCAAACATAATCCATGCACCGTTTGCTGCAGTATTATACATCTTATTCGACTGACCAATTAGAGTTTGTTCCCGAAACAAAGCAGAAATGGAGACTGTTAACATTTTCGAAGCGTGCATTGAGACATGGAAATAGCGACTATTCTACAAAAAGTAAAAGAAACAACGTAAAACAAAATTTTCTAGTTTTTATTGAACTATTACCCCGCAGGGTAGTGGGCTAATCTCGAAAGTAGTGCAAATTCGAGTAAACCCGCGGCAAAGGAGGAGCAAGCTCCAACTCTTCGCCAGTTTCCAAAAAACAGTTTAATATCGAAGCTGCTTCTTGTAGAAGCGAATCAGATATTAAGCTGATCAGAACAGAAATTTACAAACGATCTAAGCCATAGGCCGAGAAGCGATAACGATCTTCTTCTTCGATGGTGTTGATATGGAGATTTTAGCTCAATGTAGGCTCTTTCTCCGAGTAGACTTGTATATGATCGCTAGGCGACCGATTAGCCGGCTGTATCGAACAGCCATACGTACGCGCGGGAAATAAATGCCTTCCGGGAGGACTTTTATGGGGAACTGGCCTCCTATTCAGTCGTTATAGGCAAGGAGAAAACCCGGAAAACTCCAAGCAGCCAGCCTGTCCGACCGTGGCGCGAACCCACGACGAACCTCCCAGTCTTTAGGGTCTGGTCACCACTACGATGAGCGGCAACGGAGACCACTCGCCCACTGGTGGGGGCAGCGATAACGATCAATTCTGAAGTTTCCTCATACCTTCTCGGTGGCTTTGTCATCACCGGTGTAGTTATATTGCGGTTTGAAATACAACAAACGGTTGTGTTTAGAATCAAACCGACTGGAATCAAACGAATTGGAAACGCAAATAGCGTCGATTTACTTGATAAGTTTATTGTTCTTACTGTACAAACTTGACGATGCGATTATATTTCTAATCATCGATACATACCTGCGGTTCCGAAATAAACTAGCGTCGCCAACGTGTATCTAGAAATTCCGATACAGTACTAAATTTACCGTAGTCTGTGAGATAATGATATACCGGAAACTTACACTATAAATCGGGGCCTTACAATTTACCGCCATTGGGACACGTCTGACTTAGAAAGCATTTCTCTAGTTTTCGAATGAACTTTTTACATTGTTTTTTAGTACTGTATAATGTTTGTTGTGTTTAAGTTTTTTCTGCAATTGTTCACGTTTTTGTCTTGTTAATTTTAAGGTTTTGTGAAGAAAAACACTTCATTAAAGTATTATGGTCACTGGAATGGAATCATAGGCTGATGATTCATTTTTTAACTCTGCGAGTTTTATTTTAGAGGTTTCTGAAATTATTTTTAACAAATGAAGAATGTATTTTATGTTATGTACTGTACAGTACGTTACATTGTGGTGTACCACCATATTGTTCTGTTGTATAAAAACGAAAATATGTAGATATTTCCTTTCTTCCCTCTTTGTCCTTTGTTCTATGTAATATTCTACAAACTTCTAACCACGTAGAGTGAATTGACCTACTTGGGAAACAAAGGGGGAAAGGGGAGCCCTGAGGGTGAGAATGAAGGGGAACAGTCACTGCTAGCCCGGACGTCGGAGAGGAAGGACGTGTACGAGAGATCTTCGGACCGCTTGAGAGCAGTCGAAGATATAGCCCTGGACGGTAGGCTAAAGTCGGGATAGGACAAATCCATGGAACTTTGATAACGGAACTGGCACAAGATCAGTTTGGAGAACTCCCTTCCCCGAGAATCGAAAACTTCACGTTCCCCCAGCGAACCAAGAACACGGGTCGACCTTCCTACAAAAAACTAGAGTGTCGACCACCATTGGGTACCCACCTCTCATTCTTTTTCCAATCTCTATGCCTTAATTTCTGTCCCCCTCTATTTTTATTAATAGGATAATTAGCTTTAAGTCTTAGTCATATATATATGTTACAGTCAAAACCCGTTTTTAGTTAGAACGCGTTTTAACTAGATGAAACTAGTTTATGCTAAATGTCTTTGTTAAAACCCGTTTTGTCTAGTTAAAACTAGTTTTAACTCAAATTCATTTTTAACTAGCAGTAAATTCTAGTTTTGACTAGACAAAACGAGTTTTGTCTAGTCAAAACTAGACAAACTAGACAAAACGAGTTTTGTCTAGTTAATGTGCTGCTGTACATGTTTTGATTTTAGATAAAACTAGTTTCAACTTTTAACATTAATTAAAACTAATTTTAGCTACATAAATATTTTTGGGAAATAAATAAAGTTATGTATAGTGATTCAACAGAACATGCCTAACATTTTGCTTATGAAGGTAATTACAGCGCTAACTTGGGTTTAGAAGCCCTCTAATGAAAATATCATATTCTGGAGTATGTTTTTTCAAATAAAACTTTGGAATTCATTAAAAAGAAATTGTATGCTGTGTTTGCAATGACGACTTTTTTACTGTCTGGCATTTTAGGCATCTCACCCCAAGTACCCGGGATAGATGCCAAATGTCATTAGGGTAAGATAACAAATTTAATTGCATAAAATTAATTTTTGAATTTCTTAACTAAATTTCATTTATTGCATATGTAATACGAAGTACTTCATAGAAAGTATAACAGCACAGTATAAGTATTGTTAAGTTTACGCCCGTTCTAACGTGTTGTATATCCAGCTGAAAGCTTTTTTCAGTCCAAAAACCTTTTTGAAAAGTCCTTATATAATCTATATGCATATCCTGCAATAAAACGAGAAAACAAAAGTTTATTAAAAATAGGCATATTGGAAATCAATTAACAAAAAATAGGCACGTTACCCCAAGAAAAATGTGGCATATTTTCCATTTGTTGGGGTAAGATGCCTAGTAGAGTCAC